TATTTTTTGTACCAACACACATGAATTATTTGAAAAACAAAGAGGATTTAATATTCAGTCATAAAATATTTTTAAAAACGATTTTGTTTAAAAGATTAGACAATATGCAAGCGTTTTGATTCGTAAATAATCCCTTTAACGCACAACCACATATCACACGGATTGCTCCAAAATGGTGTAACACCTTGCATAATTACGATGGAAATAATGTCTGCATTGTTGTAAATGCGCGCATTCTGCGAATGGCATGTGGAGAGATATATAAATTTAACACTGCACACACTATGTTGCGCTATCTCTCGTGATAATACGATTATTCCTAGGATTATATATCGCATTAAAAGCTTATTTACTTTGTTATAATTGTTTGCTTAGGACCACAAATCTTTAGCTTTCTCATATATTTTTCTTATACATTGCATAATGTAAACTAACATAAACTGTATTATAAAACTCGCAACTTTTTTGTTATTTAGGATCGATGTGTAAAAAAGAATTAAACCATTATTTTATTTGGGAATTCAATTTGTTGAATTCATTTTGTTGAATTCAATATATATATTTCATATCAAGTTGAAAAAAATTGTTTAATCACACATACAATACCGTTACAATTTATTAGAGTTTCTCTAGTAAGAGTTAAGACATAAGACCGGAAGGGCACCATTGCCGGGTGTCGGGTACCGGTCGGAAACAGCGCAATTCCACCATGGTAGACAGTTGATAGCCCGATTTCGCGTTCGCGCCTTCTACATGAAACAGTTGCTCACACCAATTCACAGATTCACATCGAAAGTATCTGCAAATGGCGGCATTTAAAGGGACTCGAAATCTGACCAATCAGAGATCGGTGCCCCTTATGACTTGACTCTTACTAGAGGGACTCTACAGTTTATCATTCGTATCATGCATTATTATATTTGTAATATATCATACCATAAATATATATATAAATTGCAGTATATCAATTCTTCATAATTTTATAAATTATACCGCAGTAAGCATCGTCAATTTTCTATCTGTTCGACATATTATTCTCCTTGACCGCGCAGAATTCAAAAGTTCTTTCAATTTTCTTTTGAGACTACTATGCAACGATGATAGATAATCTCCACATTCCCGGAAACTCGTAAATTCAGAATGCATAACGTTGAGAAATATAGATTGTCGATAAAATGGTTTTGAGACAAATTTGATAGAGTGAAAAACATTTGATGCAAAATAAATAATATACGATGTTAGTATCAAGATCTCTGCAATGAACGTCATTTTGTGGTTATATGTATATCTATCCTACCCGCAACAAATAAGCTAGCTCGTTTAAAGCTTACAGCTTAAAATAAAATTTTAAGAATCTCTATCTTTGAAGATCCGTGCTTTTTGTCGAACAATATCAAAGCATATCTTTTCTCCTGGTTTTATTTTTAGATGGGCAAGAATTTCTAATTAGCAAGCATCATACACTTTTGAACTCTTAAATTATTCTGTGTAACTCGTAGAATTTGCAAAAAAAGGAAAATATTCTTAACATTTTGTATACATCGTGATGAGAATGGCAGTTTATATTAACAGAGTTGTATTCATCACTTGCTCAATTCGTGCTGAATAGTCAATTCTGAGTTTAGATAGCTCGAGGCGAAGATTCTTATTCCATCGGGGCGAAAGTTCTATTACATTATAACAGAGCGGTAGTATAGTGAAAGTTTAACGAGTTATAAGCTCGGCAAGAATCGTCGCGGTATGGCACATGTACGAGATACATATCACGTTAAAGAGAGTACCAGGATTTCCTGTCCACTAAAGTTAGGACGATAAATCGAACCGGAATGCTAATTCGACTGAATAGTTTGTCTCGCGCTTTGCCTTTCCGTTGCCGGCATGATATGCTAATGGCATTTCTGTCTAGATTCTTGTCTTCTTCTTCTCCGCCTTTTCTGAGTATATGTCCCACAAGCATTTGATGCTTTCATTTATTCAACTTTCAGAAAGAAAGTAATAAATTGTAATTAATAAATAAGGGAGGACTCCGTTTGTCTACGAATCGATTATCTACAGCTCAACTGCCTATATGCCTACACTTTTGCATAGAAATAAAAATTTCAGAAGGACGCATTTGCCTACATGTATTATTGCCTACAGCTTGATTGCCTACATGTATTATTGCCTGCAAATATTCTTCTCTGCTTTAAAACACAAATTCTGTGTTTTAAAACACAAATTTTCTGTTTTAAAATAAAAATTATCTGCTTTAAAAACACAAATTATTTTCTTACGTAATTTAATCTTAATTTTATATTTATGTGCAAACGTGCTTGTAGGTAATCGATCTGTACGCAATAATACGTGTTTGCAATCGATCTGTAGACAAATGAGATGTAGGCAAACGGTGTTATAAGCAATCGATTTGTAGACAAAAGGAGTCATAAATAAAAGACAAAATTCTTCTAGTCTCAATGAATATTACTTAAAGAATATGATTCTTATAATATATCTTTGTAGAAAGATGTCTCAAAGTAACTGGCATACTCATTGTCACAGAACAGTAATATTTCATCCATTCAGTACGAAACCATTTCAAAGAACATATCTTTTGATTAGTTTTGTTGGACATTTAAGAAATTCTACACTTACCAACCGTATTCACACCTACCCAGGCATTACCGTTGTAATCCCAGAACTTTCGAAGAGAGCTCACATATAGATGCTGCACAGAAAGGGAGGCGAAAGAGAACGGAAAAAAGAAGCAGAAGACAGCAGGCGAAGAGAGTGGAAATGGAAGGATCCAGCTAAACGAGCAGATTCGTAATCCTTTTACTGCCGCACGACGAAAGGCTTTGATGCTGACGAGCTTAGCGCTTAGCGACTTTCGTAACCGTGTCAAGCCGGCCTAAAGGACGAGTCGAGACTGAGATGCGTCGGCAAGCCTTTAGCGCGTTAAGAGCCATTCGTCCAGATCTTTTCTGACATTACGTCTGCTTTTGAGATTATATCCCCTGAGACTGAGGTGCGAGGAATTTACCGCTTGACGAAATGTCACACGTTCTTTTTGTTAAAAAAAAATCTTATCCCATTATTATAGATGCAATTCTTCAATTATAAATATCGCTCCCTTGTCTCTTCTTCAATGTTAATTTTCTATCTTTATCCATCAAAAAATATCACTTTGCTTCAAAATAAACGGAAATGTATTTTCATTTCGTATTGGAATGACGCTAATTAATACAATGTATTATTGAAAAAATCGTTATCCGACTTGACTATGAAATGTAATCATCTTGGAAACCGTGAAAGTAATTGAAACACAAAAGTTCTCGAGACGGATCAGCGGGCTTTTAGGGAAAATATCGATAATGTGCGGCCGTTACTCTTCCGAACAATTGCGTTAGCGAATATCGTAAGACAGGGCGTTATAGATTTAAGATGTCGATGCCGATCGTAAAAGACGCACCCTTCCCGTACTTAAAACTTCTTTATGGGATGAAATTTGAACTTTAAGAAGATTATTTGCAAGGTCGTGATGATATTAAAGATGTTAGAAAGTACAATTTGAAAGTTGAATTTTCTATGACATTTCGGGCCTAATATAAAGAAAGAAACAGTCTATTTAATTTTTCATTCAAACATCGTTCGCGGTATGATCGCTGTAATTAAATATAAACGCCACAGTCTGAAACTCGACAGTAATCAAGCTGACATTAAGCTCAACCTTCTATTCAAAAATTCATCAGTCGAAAGAGTTATTAAGAAGATGAGTTCCATCTTCTGAGAAGAATACTTAATGAAGAATGAAATACTGATATATCATAAAAAATAAATATCTTCGTTATATCCTATTCTTAACATTCTAAGATGTATCGCCATTTTAAATAACTTATAATTCATTTCAAATTGTATACTCTCCATTTTAATATATGTTCTATATACGGTATACTTCTAATTCCTATATTGCTTTTTATATCACAGTATATAAAATTAGAAAATATAGAATTCTATTTTGAATTTTGACACACATTGTAAAAACAGATTTTATATAAACCAATAGTGTCATAAAATACTAAATTATGATGTTATTGAGTTGAAATATTACTTTGTCTTCCAATTCTACGGATAAGAAATGAATCATTTTTGAGTCACAAGGAAAGTTCGGCAAGAGTAAAATTCAAAAATATCTAAAATATTGCATAAGTATATAGAATAGATGAATCTAAACATGAAATAACTTTTTGTAACAATTGATATTCAGTTTTAGGAATTTAAGAATATTATTTTAAATATTATGTAGTTTTGTCTGACAATGTGTGTGTAAATTCAATAAATGTAAAATTTAAAAAATCTGGAACTTTCCATGAATATAGAATAGATGAATTTAATCACGAAACAATTTTTGTATTTAGTAATATGTGATTTTAGGGATGAAAACATCCATCTGAAAAAAAAATCAGTTTCTAAACGAATATCGTCGAAACAATGAAAAAATATTTTAAATAAAACTTGGTTTTAAAAGCACTTTTATTCAAAACATTTTTTCATATTTCTTATTGTTACGGTGATATCCGCTTAAAAACGTAAACACTGATTTCTTTCAAAAAGTGTTTCTACTCCTAAAACCAAAACAGCAGCTACAAAAAATGTTTTATAATTAGATCTACTTATTTTATACTCACATAAAGTTTCAAATTTTTTAAAATTTTACACTTGCCAGACTTTCATAAAGAACTGCATATTACATTTTAGAAGACATTCTTAAATCAGATTGTATACATGTCTTGCTTCCACTTTTCCTTAAAATGTTCCTTACATTATCATTCACAAATGGATATACATATATAAAGTATAAATGTCCGCAATATATTGAGCTCAGGTCCGTTGGGTTTGCTAAGCCCAAATGACTATGTGAATCAGTCATCCCTACGGGAAAGTAGCTTTCTCACAAGAAATTGTATCTAAACTATCATCTAAACGAGATGAAAACTGCAGAGAAGACATCTTACATATTTCAGCTTGTCGCCCATGAGAGACGATTGTCGACCTCAGCTTCGCGAACAATGGCTGCAATGAGTTTAGGTTTCATCGTTATGGTCACGCCATGGACGATTCAGGAAGTCGTTGCAGCCTGCACCGGAAGTAAGCCGCCGCCATTTCTCGACTTCCTGGCCACGTGGCTGGCTCTTTCTAACAGCTTCTGGAATCCTTTCCTTTATTGGCTGCTCAATAATCATTTCCGCCGAATTTCGAGAGAGTTTCTCTATACTAAGGTAAGAATATATAAAAACTTATATTTTAAGTTAATTAGTGTGTTAACAAACCTTTTGTTTATTGCATTGATACGTAAAGTATACATTTGAAAAGGAAATACAAATAAAGCAATAAAAAATAAGTTGCAAAATGAAATGCAGTTATAAAATTTTATTTGCTTTGACACAAAATTTTAAATCAAGAGAGAATCACATGCGATTAAAATTTATTTTCAATATAAATAACAAGTTTTATATATTTTTTATCAATTTATTTTAGCATAATAGAATTTATTTCGCTTCTGCTTCCTTGTATATCCAAAAATCAATTCATCCGGCTTCTGCGAATTATATTAGACTATTACGGCCGTAGTCAACACTATTTCATATGCGTGAATTTTACTAAATTTTGTTATGTACAAGTGGAATTGCACGCATTCGAGGATGCGTGTTTTCAAACGTCCATTAAAGTTTAGTCCGAGCACTTATAACAAGTGACAAATAGTTTTTCCCTACTAACTGGAAACAAAAGTTGGAAAAAGAAATGGAAGTAAAATATCACGTTTTTGTAAAAAATAAAATCACAAGCATAAGATATAAATATAAATAATCTTTTTCATGCGCAGTTAATTTGTATATAATAATTTGTTATTAATGATTATTTATAATTAATAAGTGTATAATAATTATAATTTATAATATTTGTAATTTATGTTAATATACATAATTGCAAATGTATAATAATGTTAATTTATATTCAATAATAATTTATAATAATAAAACGTTTTGTACATAAAAATGTAACGTTTCCATATTCTATATTATAATTCAAGTATATTGGATGCAGCAACGCGTATGATCAAGAAAATAAAATAGATAAATGTATAAAATATAAATTACGGAGAGAAGAAAAGTACAGTAAACAGAAAATTTATACGATTAGAAAGGTTCAATAAGTTTGTAAGGCGCGCGCCAACGCTTTCTTTGTTTATCTAGGTTTCTTTTTCTCCCGATCGTTTTATCTTTTCGTTACATCACAAGCTCCGCATTTTCCGACTTCTGATTTTACGCTTCACTTCTTTTATTCCGCGAAATCAATCGTGCGCTCAGTGCTGCAACAGAATCAGTAAATTTCTCGAAGAGGTTGGCGGTTCACGTCACCAGCGAACGAATGAAGATGTACGACTTAACGTGACTTTCTACGAAAACACGATGGAAAGCGACAGTACCTTCCGAGAAAACAAGATTTATCCGGTGCAAAACGCGTTACGCAATGCCCTTGATACTTTCCGCGACAGATCCAGCGGTTGGTCCCTTCTTTTTCGCTGAATTCTCTTTTCGGATTCAGCAGGAAAGAGGGAAAACGGCATACGTCGCGTAGCTTGGCCGCGGCCACATAGATCTTGGTGCTTCGACTTTACAGACCATGAATTCCGAAAAGCTGTCGGTGCGCAGTAAATCTTTAATCGCCACGCGAAGTGCACCGCGGCCTCCTCTCTACGCTAACCGGATGCAAGTACAATAAAATACTCGTGCAGCATGTTTGATATTTCTTTACAATTGGCATACGTGAGTTTTGATTGGCAAACGACGAATGAGTCTGAAGTAAAACGACGTCAGTGTATCACATGGATCAAAGTGTATCATGTGAATCAATTTACTTATTGTATTTTCATTTTTAAAAATGCTAATCAATTAATCGGTAAATTCTTAAAATTATAATAAAATTATGAAATTGAAAGATCACACAATTAAGCATATATTTAAAATTCAATACTAGAATTGTAAATATTATGTGATTTCTACATGTTACTTTTTCAGTTTTAATATTAGATTTTATTATGAATAATAAATATTTTAAAGTTTTAATTAAGAAAAATCGTCTTAATATTCGCGACGAAGAATTTATTATTAATAATTCAAAGATATGTGAACTATTGGAAAATGTACATAGAAAGAATTATAGATTTTTTTATGCATAACAACTCATAATCTGCTTCTGTATGTATATACATTAAATTTTATGATAGCACAATTAAGTGGTAGTATTCTGTACGTATTAACGTTTTGATAAAGCAATAGATCAATTAGCTTACAAAAATTGCTTTGCACATATACGAGTATATGCTCTTAATAGAGTAAGTACCTTGGGAATCATATGCCGAATATTACAGTTAAATCTTGGTTTTTACTGACTCAGGTATTGCCCGTAAAATTTATATAAAACAATTTACACAAGGTAGTATTCCAAAACAGAACACGAGTATCATTAAATTTCTTACATTCTTTTCGATTATATTTAAAATAATATGAAAAGAATATATTTTACATGTAATGTATAACTTGTAATGTAAATATATATATATAAATTAATTGGCATAACCAAGCAAATTTCATAGTAAAATGTAAAAATGATTTTGAAAAATTATTATAGGTATTATTTCTTTTAAAAAGAGGGAAAAATATTCTAGCCTGTAAAAAATTCTACCATACATTATTGTAAAAATGAGGTTATTATGAAAAATAACAAGAAGTGAAAAGTTATTTTTCATAACTTGAAATGAGAAAAAAGGTAATATGTAATAATAGTACGCTGCTATGAAACAAACAAACTCTAACTAAATAATTGATATATTATTTTAACTCATGGTACATTACTATGTAGGAAATAGTTCGCCGAATGTGTATTTACATATTCAACTGTATCCCTTGAGGACCAACGTTACATTTGAAGCATTCTGTTCGTGCACAAAGTTTATGAAAGCAGCAATATATATCGCTTACAATTAAACTACTTTATGTTAATCTGATAAATGAAATGCATAAATGCATGCATGAATACATTGCGGTGATGTTCGATTATCAGGGAGCTTTAAGATCAATTTATTATCCGTTCTTACAAGGGAAATATTTCAACCTTATCACGCAGGTAATCAATAAAGCTTATAAAATCTACTTCTACTTGGAACGATTGATTTATCGTTTGCAAACTGACAGGCATTATTCAACCATCAATGCATGTCATGATTGATAATTCGGTTAATTTTAATTTCCTTTTTATATGCAGATTCTGTGCAGATCTAAGCCGTTAGGAACAAAACAACACTGCTGCTCGACTAGCACCGGTGGCTTAGATGTTTGCAGCATTGCAGGTATCGACTTATCAGGTATGTTAAACAAATGTTATCATGTTAAAAAAGAAGTTAGTCAATCTGAAAAATTTCTGCATGTTAGATTTTATGTAGTGGCAATGCGTATCAATCAACAATAAAAATGTATAATGAATTAAACAATTTTTTAATCAAAATTTAAAAACGTATTTGTAAATCATTTGCGTGATCTTTTTCTAATAAACAATTTGATTAAATAAAAGATCTATGAAATAAAAAATAATTATAAAAATTGAATTATTATTGTTAAATTAAAATTAAATTAATTAAATTAACAATAAATTTTTCCATACGCTTTGAATCTACCTATTGTTAATTACGACAAAATTCATCCGGTTGCTTTTACGTTAATGATCTCGCATCGGCAGCAAGGGGATTAACATAATCAGTGTTTTGCACTAATTAAACCGAGGGGAATCAGTCTTTTGACAGCATCCATTATCAACATTAACTGAATTCTCATGCTCCATATATGACATCCATAAACGGAGATTTAATGTGGTCGCTAATAATAGTCAGCGACATGATTTTCGCGTAAATTCGAATTGCGTCATAATCACATTTGGAATCACATATCGTATCAAACTTACGACTACTACTATTGATTACGTTATAACATGTTTGTCACTGCTTGCCGCAATTGCCACTACGTATTGCGAAACGTTTAAATAAAATATTAATAGATCTCTGACATAATTTGACTTTTATTACTAGATTAATGAGATAAAATTTTTAACGTTTGTAGTTTCAAATTTAAATACAAGCTAGAGAATACAAATTATCAATTTCTTTTATTATCAAACTATATGTATTAAATTCAATATTATAATACTAAGTATATAATAACATTTTAGAGCAAAGTGAATATAAGGACCCTTTGTAAATTAATGAATTCAATTTTTATCATGATTTCGTTTCGTAATATTAAATAAAACAATGTTTTTAATTTCCAGCTGTGCATAAAAGAAGAGAGTAATGCATTAGATAAAAAAATTATCTCTATTAAATGCTGTTTCTAGTAAAGAATGAATTTTTAATTCCTATAAAAATTAAAAAATAAATGCGATATCTACACTTTCAACGAAATTATAATAATTATGTCTTTCTCTGCAGCAATGATCGCGAGAATATCGTTGAATATCGCATTAGGAAATATGTTATTAATTTATCGACTTGATTGAAATAAAACGTGCAATGCCGAAACAAATTAGCTCGTGCTTTCGCTTCGAATTTATCGTTCAAAACGATAATTTACACTGCGTGGAAATAATTATTATACGTTATATAATACAATCCTGTTAATAGCGAATATTACCATACCCAGTGCTTGAAGCTTTCATTGTTCGGAATTTTTTATTTCAGGTTTGGAGCGTTGCTCAATGGAACGATGCTCAATGGCGCGTTGTTCCTCGTTATCATTAGCGAATACACCGCCGCTCCCTTGGGAAACCGGACATGTAACACATGGTGACGTAGCATCCACGTGAGGTATACACGTTGCATAATAAATATATGCTTCTACTCTTATTATTCACTATTTGCTATCTGTTTTTTATTTTACGTTATATAGAATCTTATATATCTCCATAATATTAAAATTTAATGCCTTTAATCAATTTGCACAAACAGCTTTATATTAATAAAAATGTGTATGCATCAATAATTCTTAAGTTACAAAAAATGAGGAGAGCTTTCGTCTTGAATAAATTTTCATAATTATTAACCCTAGCAAGTCATTCATGGGTTCAATGTACCCTATGCGATTTTTTACATTACTGTAACTTTTTTATATTTAATATAATTTGAAGACCTGGATTGAAGCTGCAAAAAAACTTTAACTATCCATAGATATGAGATAAGCCTGCAAGGATTTTTTTTGCGTTATTCTTGATGTGAGAATGCACGAAAGTTCAAAGAGGGTACTTCGGACCCACATATGACCAGCTTGTAAGTTTTCGGCGTTCTGTGGGTACTCCTTTATTTTTTATTAAATATATGTTTACTGAGTTTCGGATAGTATAAAAGTAAATACACGAAAATGTAGAATTAAAAAGAATTATTTCAATATAATAAATAGTAGAAATTTTATAACCTCTGTCAGTCTTCGGAAATCGCTCGGCCGCCGGGGCGGATGTATTGCTTTAGATGTAGAGCGAGTGCTACATCATCCTCTAAACTAACTAATAAACTTAATTATACTATAATAATATTTATACATGTACAATCCTTTATTTACCATTTTATATTGTTTACATAATACAATTTTATTTATTAATTGTAAATTTATATGTAGATTTTTCAAAAATGTCGATTTTCAATAGTTCAAATAATTATATTTTTTTGAGCGATTCATATCGTATTATTTTTTTTTGTTAGTCCAAAGGGTCAACTAAAAAAATCCTGCGGATTTTTGCTTAAACATTAAATTTAAAAATTTGAGAATTTTTTATCCAAAGTAGTCATTTTTCCAAAAAATTTCTTTGAAGCATTGTAATTAGTTGAAAATAAAATATTATTTATTTGATTCATATTTATCTGTCTTTGACTTCGAGGTATAAATTTCACACGTTTTGAGCTAAAAAATACGTATTCAAAGATATAGCGTAACAAAATTGCAGGGTTTCATAAAACCTGATATGATCGGGAAGATAACCAAAAATGACAATGACTAGGATTTAATCAATATTAAATTAATTTTCATAATTATCACAAAAACTCTTCATCTAACATATCCAGTTTATTATTGATAATCATAAACCAATCACAGAGCTATATTAACATAAGAACTTTATAAATACAAATTTTTATGTCTGACGGAAATGATGTCATGGACTACAAAATTTATTATAACTAAAAAATATCACCTCAATGAGATTATGTTTTAAAACCGAAAATTTAATTAGCTCCCGATTTGTAGAATTAGATTTGTATATGTATAAATTCACTGTGAAATATTATTATGTATGTACGAAGTTCTAGCTCGGATCAAAAAAATATTTCTTTTCTTAATTGTGTTTTCATATATCGGTTCAATATTATTATTGTTTATTGCTTTTATTATTATTTAAACAAAATATTGCAAAATTTTTTAAACTAATCTTGTTTCAGTTTAAATAACGGTAACGATAACGACTTATTTTTGAAAATTAATAATTAGGAACGGTAACTACACAGAAAGAATTTTCTCTTAGAATTTAGCCTGAAAATCATGATAATAGTGGGACAACATAGTATTTCAAAGAATTGTATATGAGTTTCTTTAATTTACTAATATATGTCATAATAAGATATGTAATATATTTTATTAATTTTACTAAAGGGTATAGTAAAATTTCAACATTTTAAAATAAGTTACGCAGTTTATGATTCTTTATTATTTTAAAAGAATAGATGCTAAATAGTCATGAATATATAAAATAGCTTATGTAATCGATATTTATCGGTTATTTTCGTTGTCGAGTGTCTCTAGCTACGTTAGAACTTACTCACTTCAAAACATTTTACGATCTGCATTATAATTTTTACTACATCATTTATAAAAAGTCTCTTCTATATTTCAAAAAATCTATCGTTACTGATAATATTTCATTATTGTCAAGTTGTACCAAGCTTATTACCAAACATGATGAAATTTATAATGAATTTTGCGGTAAAAAATAACAAAAAATTCTCTCCGTGTAGTTATTTATTTGACTCAAAAATGAGTAACGGTGACTAATTATTTTTAAAAAGTAATTTTTCAATCCTTGCTAATAATAAATGTCAATGGTAATTTCCAGCCACAGATGCCGCCACGCAGACGGAGGATTTCGGATCCCCGGACGACGCCAGTTAGTACAGCGTGGCGGCAAGCCGACATCCGATGCTCCAAAACTATTGGGCACAATATCCATCATCTATGCACCGATATCTGCAAGATCATGTCGCATCCTCGCTGGCACGAGGACGAGTTTCGCTCATCGAAGAAGAGAACAATCGTGACGATGTAGCAACGTTAGATGGAACGAGTCGTTATCATCGACATGATCGACAGAGTCACTTATTAGGATTCACGCGTTTTAAAAGTTTGCCAGATCTTATCAGAGATATGGAACAGCGATGAAACACTGATTAATGATCGTCTTTGAATCAGAATGTTGCTGTACATCACTGTCATCGTCGCCATTATTTCATCATTATTCTACATAAGAAAGCATAAACTCACCGGTTGCAACAGCATAAGGGAACGCGAATTCCATGCTTCGAGACGAGCGTACACGAAGCGTATGTCGACACGATTAGCTCTCGTCGCGACGAGATCGATTACGGAAATTAATTACGACACCAACGAGGATACTAATCGCGCCGCTCCCGACGATATACATGTATAGATGTTTAATCACGGCGGAGCGTACTGCGAGTGTTAACGTCATTTGCGCCCGCATCCCCATTTTCCACGATTAATTATTCACGCGTGAATGTCGTCCTACAAGCTGCTCACCTAACACAAAGTTGTTTCTTCTTTAATATAACTTTGAATACTTTTTTCAAAATCTTTTAAGATAAATTTATTTAAAAACATAAATTCTGGATTCAAAGCATTTCTTCTTATTCACAGATTTATTTTTTAAATTTATTTATTAATTTAAAGGCAAATCCTTATTCAAGAAATCTTATTTTTAATTTTTTTTTTGATATAAACTTTTTGAAGGTGGCTTAAAAATATAAATATACAATAAAGGAGCATATAGCCACAGCTAAAGATGTTTTTTTAGAGATAAGTAATATATTTCGAATCAATACGTTAACATATATTTGTACAAATACAAATATTATATGTTAATGTATTAATTCGAAATATATTACTTATCTCTAAAAAAAACATCTTTAGCTGTGGCTATATACTCCTTTATTGTATATTCTTATTTTTGAAGTAAATTGATAAGGCTGCTTCAAGTTGTGTGATGTAATCCACATTAAAATTGCGTATTGAATAATTATGTTTAAATCGCAATTGTTTGCTCAAGTTCAAGAGCTCATTAGTATGAACTATGAAGACCAATACGTAACATTTTACATCCATTATTATTATATATATTTTATAAAAAAGTCTAATGAGGAGATAAATAAATACAGATGTTTGAAATAACTCTTTTAATATCGCAGAGTTTTATACCGCAGAGTTTTAATAAATAAACTGCAGATAAAATATACAATAGAAATTTTGTTTGCATTTTCAAAAAATGCAAACAATATTGCTATTGCATATAATTTTTTATTCAATAATTTCTCGTTTTTTGTGAAACTTTAAATTGTTATTAGAGATAAGTGATCTGCGATATTTTCTAAGAAGTTTGTTCCAATGATGGTAATACGGTAATAAGGCAAAAATTAATCGTATTATTTTTATTTAGCATAATGCAGATAGAATAATGCAAAAACAGCCTTGTAAATTAAACTATGACAGATTTGAATAAATTGTAATTGTAATTGTATATTGACTTTTCAAATGCATATTGTATTTGAAAATATCAATGTGTAGAGTTTTGTTTAAATCATTACCAAGATAATAATTATATATAAATGAAAAATTTTTTAATGTGGAATTGACTAGAAAACTTATATAAAGCTATTCCTTACAGAAGCAACCTCTAGTACTGGCCAATTTATTATTGAAAGACAATAATTTGTTTATTTATTTGGCGTACTAAAAGTACTGAACAACAGTACTCTTGAAATAAGTACTACTTAAAATAAGTAATTAATTACTGTCTTTCAGGCAGTATTAGATTTCTGTAAGAAACATTAAATATTACAGAAGAATTCAGAATAATCAAAAGAAACGCGGAAATAGCATCTCTGCTTTAAATAAGAAACACAGAATCGATATCGTACATGATTTAATGCGTTATATGTTGATGGAATAAAATCTTATATATGTAAGAAGAAATTATCTTCTACTAGTACTTAGAATTTTCTATTCAGCGAAAAAAGATGTCGAGATGATTGAAAATGGAAACATTAACGAGGCCGACGACGCCTTCATAACTGCGTTCTCATAAAGAGAGAATCCTCTGAAGACTTTAATATATGTGAAATAATTACACTCTTTCAATTTATAATTAGAAATATTGCGCACCGCTCTGATGTAAAAAGATTTGTATAAGAAGTAGTACTCTTCATACGGCTTCTCGTATTGCTAATTTTTTTTAAATTATAAATTAATTTTAAATATTATATATTGTTTCAAATATATAAATTAGTTTTTATTATTATATTTGTAATTATCTAATTTTCTTTGTTAGAATTTCTTTAGCCTTTTTAAAAGTTTCTTTTATTTTTTTATTATTCAGATGTCATGTTTCGATGTATTAAAAGTTTATGTTACATCGAAATGTATTTCTTATAATATATTTATATTTATTTTATATTAATTCTTTAAGATTTTGTTAATATCACATACAGTCTTAATTTTCATAACATATTTATAAATTTTATATTATTATGAGGATCATTTTAGACTGAAATAAATATCTTTTTTTCGATTATTTTGATTTATGCCGTGAAATATATAATTAATGACAGATAGAATTGCGTATATCGTTAGACTATACTAACTAGTGAGTAAGTTTTTCAAGAATTTATATCAAGAAACATTTACATTTCACGATGCATAGTCACGTTAAAACAAAAATTGATGCTACTAATGAGTGCCTGAGTGCTCACATGAATGCAGCGATTATTCGCGTATTCTAAACTGACAAGATCCACCTATTTTATCCGTTTAAATTAATAAATAGCCGGTGGATCATTATGTACTTGTTTTCAAATTGCTAATAACCAAGTATATCATGTGCCTCAGACGGCTCAAACTCTTTGAAGCATCCGCTTCAAGAGCCTTATTCCTCTTCATCTAAGATCTCATATGAGGTTGTTTAATGAAAAACCTCCTGTGTTTGTATATTTAAAAAAAAGTAAGTGGAATGTCTAATTGAATACGAATTTGTACGTACTTTCATACGTATATAAGCAATTGAATCATATATATGAAACAAAAGAGATAGTCGCTCTATTCATAAACGTGAATAATAAATATTAAAAAATTGCACATTATCGAGAGAAAGCTATTATTTCATTTAAAAGAAAACTTAAGCTTATTTCAAGTACTTCTGTAGGAGGTTGAAGGTATTTCTAAAAAATAAACATGCAGTTATTGACGTTATTATAGCTCTTATCATGTTCATTTTACATTACATTTTCAAGAGACTAATGCAAAAAAAACTCAAATTGTGCCGAACTAAACAAGTAAAATTAAAATGACATTATACCGCGTTAATTATATAGAATATCTTCTGTATAAAGTCTTACAAACTGTGTTTTTTGAGACTCTTAAACGTAAAGATAAAAATCTTTTTACATATGTTAGAAACTGCTGATTTTTTAATTAATATTTTAATGTATTGAAACAGAACAAATTTCCAAAGAATTATACATATGTACATGTACTTCCGAAACAAATCATACCATAAAAACTGCACAAATCATTTTGAGCAATGTGGAGAATGATCATTGAAATCTCTCAGCGCGATAAAACTTATAAATGCAAATTTAGTATTAATACTTGCGATGTAAAAAGCGATGTAAATAAGAATAAGAAGAGACATCACCTCGCCCTTTTACATAGTAAACCAGTGTGAAGGTTCGATTGGAAAAGACAGTAAAAATATATATAAACACTGCCTGCAAATGATCATCATCGGCACGAGACTGTTTATTGTCCGCGATGATGTCTCGATTTACGTTAAGTATTGAATCGAATGCGAATCGTTTTTGTATTCAATAATTCAACACATACCAATTGCGCATGTATAGATAGAGAATTTTAGATAAGATTATTAGCCAAAAACAAAACGGCGACTAGTTAGATTATTAAAATAAACGTGAAACTTTTAATAATCCACTGAAATTTAGTAATATCACCGAATAAATGCCTTAAGCAAAAAATCTTTTATAAATCGGCATGAAAGAGCAAATATTATACATATTCTGCAAAAAAGTGCTGGAACAATGCATTTCGGCTATTTCTTGCAGAGTAAATAAGAATTGAGCGCCATAATTTATTTAAGTACAATAGCTGCGTTTTGTATTTATATTTAAATTATTACTAAGTTATTGATTACTGTTGGCATTGTAAATCACAATCTAATAAAGTCTCAATTATTTCTAGAAATGTGATAAATTGGAAGAGCTATTTGAAATACAATCAAATCGATGTACATACATATTAGTTTTATTAATTACATGTAAAGATTACAAAAATAATTTTTGTCTCTTCTTATTTTGCATCTTAATACTAGAACTATAAAAAAAAAACAATCAAGATCTATTATTTTTATAACGGTTTATTTTTTAAGATTATCTTATCTTTGACTTTTGTCGCAATGTTAAATGATTAAACTTATTTCTTTATTTTCTACGTTTATCTCTTTTTTCGAAAAGATATATTATATATACGTATATTAAATCTGGAGACACTAGTAGTGTCTCGGCGCTAAGCTACGCGCAGCGACACTGCCGTACCTCCTTTATGCGAACCGACGAGTTGCGAACGCAAAGTTCCGAACTGCTACTTTTTCAGTTCAGATTCAAATATATTGTCATTGTCATTATCGTCGACCACATTCCGCGCATTCCTTTGGTGTCCGTCTAAAGCGGGGAGCACAGACTCTTGCATAACGCATAACACGTGAGGCATAAGAAATTGAACCAACCAGAGTTCTCTATTACATGGAAGGGAAAGAAACGGAGAACTTCGATTGGTACATATTCTTATGCATTACGTGTTATGCGTTATGCAAG